CTCGGGTTTTTGGGCTTTAGGATCTTTTTAGATTTTGGGTTCAAACTTTGCGAGGATCACACATATTGCGAATGTTTGAACGTCATCTTGAAGAGTTTGCTTTGCTCTATTGTATGGTACCCCAATTACACAGAAAAATTTGCGAAGAAACGGCTTATGGCTGTGAAGAATCAAATATGTAAAGACTTATGGGACAACCTAATAGAATTATGAAAGCAGGCAGGCAAGTTCTTGCAAATAGGCAAGAAGGCAGGCTAATTTGCGAACTTTCGTGGCTTAGTCACAGCTACCCTACCATATCCCTGCCAAGAGAGCCTGTACTCCACAGAGACTACGACTTTCGTAATTACGTCGTAAATAGCGTGTAACTTTTACAAGCGAAGTTTTCGTTTGATCCAGAATTATCAAAATTCGAACCATAACTCAAGGGCGAGCTTCAGAGCGTAAAACGAAGAGAACAAATAACCCCGAACTTCCTGGGAAACTTGTTCACGGAGATAAATTGACCTTCTGCTAACTATCAAATTTCTTTGGCAAATTAGTTTCGCATTTTAAAAAACATTGAGTGATTAAAATTTGAGACATAGTTCATTCCACGATTCACCATTCCTTCTATCTCCTTTGAAAAGAAAGTTTCCGGCTATTTCTCAACGCTCGATAATCTTCAGAAGCAGCACCATTCAGCAGTGCTAAGCGGAATCTCCTACTTGTGAAGTGCGCTGCATGACATTTTCGTAAAGAGACGTCCGCAGACAAATTTGGGCAAAACGATTATCGAGGGAATATGGTATATCAGAAGATTTGTCTTGATGAGCTGAGTACAATGCTTCTTTCAGGCCTAAAATATATTCAATTCGAAGGAAGTAATGGCGTGAATACTTTGCCTGATTCGCGTGATCTCGCGAAATCAAGATCCAATATCACGCGCTCGCAGGAATGTCACGCGGTCACCAATATGCCGCGATCACCAATCTACAAGGTCTGTATGCGACGTCTCAACTCTTATTTGTTAGACTCTCTATGAGAAAACTACTTTGCTTGCAATAAAGAGTTGTAATATATGCTACATAGTTGTATCAATTTAAGATTGATGCCTTGTCTCAATCTTCTACACTTGGCCTTTTTCGAATTCAAAATGTAATGGCTCCAAATTCGTTTATAACATCGAACGTGGAGTTTATCTAAGGCCCAAGACGGAGTTCGCGCGATTTCATCGCCGCGATTTAATCGCAATATGACAACT